ACTTTCCATCCCCAAATTATCAAATATGATCCATCCGAACATCCACATTCTGGAAGAATCCTCCTGAGCTTTCTTCGTGGTTCCCCTTCATCCCTCCGACCTTTCTTGGCACTTTGTATTGACGCAGCTTGCTTTCCACGAAGCAGCGTGCTTCATCCCTTGCTTCTTGGTGGATAATTATTACTGCTTCTTGCTTCACCCCCATTGGTAGTACTGCTCATGATCTTCCAATGCTTGCGATCACCTCACCATTGCCGAAACCGTCTGTGAACCTCACCTCCTCTGCTGAAACCACCTGAGGGCCCCACCTGCTCCGCAACAATGCCGAAGCCAAGCAAGTTATTGACAGTCTCTCGGTTCATCAGTCCCACCACCAGATTGGGAAGTCGATACCCCAGCCTGCGAAGGGTGCAGCAAGGGGAGATGCAGCGAGGGGGAGGCATAGAGGGAGACGTAGAGGGGAATAGGCAGGGAAGGAACACATTGCAAACTGACATATGGCTTTGACGACCTCTTGGTTCATCATCCCCTCCACCAGATTGGGCAGCCAATACTCCAGCTTGTGAGGGATGAGGTACAGAGGAGAAGCAAAGGGGGCAGAGGCAGAGCGGAGACTGGTGAGTGGACTCAGAAGTCACCTCGGTGAGTGGGCAGTCAATACTCCAGCCAACCTGCATAGGGTGAAGCAAGGGCAGAGGGAAACATACTTCTGCGGAACGTGCCTGTGACCAGAATAAAAGACTTCTGCCTCAAGTGTGGAATGCGCGAATGAGTATATTTTGAGACCCCCTAGAATAAAAAGTGTCTCAATCCTTTAGGCGCCTCAAAAACCCCTCAATGGTCTACTCTACAGAATGGACGTACCTCATAAACAGCGGCCGAATTTCTGCCTTAATGTATGCGTACACTCTGATCTGAACAGCAGCAGGATGTACCTTAGGAACGGTGCGTGCCAACTCCACCGACTCTTTTCTTATGAATCCTCAATGGTCTCGGGAGGGACGCACCTCATGAAGAGGGACCCACCTCATGAAGAGGGAGAGGATTTCTGCCTGAAGCTTGGACTGGGTGTAAGTGTACACTCTGAAGTTGGTCTCCACCACTTTGAAGCCCTGCCGTGCTAGGGGGCGTGCAAGGTGGTATGCACATGGGGGAGCAAGAGAGTGAGTGAGTGAGTGGGCGCATGCAACAACGAGAGCGTGTGTGGTATGTGAGGATCTAAAGTTGGCGTTTTGACCACAATAAAAACCTGCGAGGTAAGAGGGCAAGAAGTGAGTGGGCTAGAACAAGTCGGGAACAGACATGGAGAAAGGAGGGAGATTATTAGAGAGAGGGGTAGGGGGGAAAAGGGGAAGATAGGTGCAAACGATAAGCTCGAGCTTATCGTTCCATCCCACACCTCTGGATTTGACATGTGGTTCCAGCTCTTGGTCAGGTGCAGGATGGGATGGTCAGGTGCAGGATGTGATGGTCAGGTGCAGGATGGGATGGTCACGTGCAGGATGGGATGGTCAGGTGCAAGATGGGATGGTCAGGTGTAGGATGGGATGGTCAGGTGCGGAATGGGATGGTCAGGTGTAGGAGGGATGGTCAGGTGCGGGATGGGATGGGATGGGATGGGATGGGATGGGATGGGATGGGATGAGATGGATGGGATGGGATAGGATGGGATGGGATGGGATGGGATGGTAAAATTTGGTTGGTGCGAACGGAATATTGCAACATGGTGCTCCCTCACCTCTGAGTTCGACGTGGCGGATTCTGATAGGCTGGAGGAGAGCACAGCAACAAGGTCCGTGGGGATGAACCACTGGTCGTGCCTCCCCTGCGATGTGGGTGATAGTGTGGTGTGGTGTGAGGGGTATACGAAAGCAGTGAGAAGGTTAACAACATGCTGACAGCATGCACCGGATTATGAGCTTGGGGCTTGATGCTTGGGGCAGTTCAGCCCATAATGATAAGGGCAGGGAGTACATTCGATATAAGTTCGATGCCCACCACCTTAATACATGTATGTTGGGAACAGAGGGTACAGGTGAAGCGCAGAGAAGACACCACACCTTCTGGGTGAGCACGCACCTTCTGTGTGAGCACACACCTTCAGTGTGAGCACACGCACCTTCTGTGTGAGCACGCACATTCTGGGTGAGCACGCACTGTCTGTGTGAGCACGCACCTTCAGTGTGAGCACGCACCTTCTGTATGAGCATGCACCTTCTGTGTGAGCACGCACCTTCTGTGTTAGCACGCACCTTCTCTATGAGCACGCACCTTCTGTGTGATCAGGCACCTTCTGTGTGAGCACGCACCTTCTGTATGAGCAGGCACCTTCTGTGTGAGCACGCACCTTCTGTGTGAGCACGCACTCTGTATCATCACGAAGCCGAGCTAGGCAATCTCCTCCACCACCTCTTGCTTCATGCCTGTCAGTGTTCACATGCTGTACGGCTGCTCTGGGCGTGGCAACACACATGGGTGCATGATGGGTACATGATGGGTGCATGATGGGTGCATGATGGGTGCATGACGGGTGCATGAAGGGTGCATGATGGGTGCATGATGGGTGCATGATGGGTGCATGTAGGTGCATGATGGGTGCATGATGGGTGCATGATGGGTGTATGATGGGTGCATGATGGGTGCATGATGGGTGCATGATAGGTTCATGATGGGTTAATCATTAATGGATGGACACACATGCACGTGTAGCACAAGGAAAGAGTGGGGATGGGGGGAGAGAGGAAGGAGGGGGAGAGAGGAAGGAGGGAGGGGGCAAAGCAATGATGTTTGGCAAGGCACCGAGGTGCCACTAATGCACCCATCTCAATGAATGCCCTTGCCAGTGGTGTGGTGACATATGGATGTTTCTTTGATCAACTGTAGCAGCTGTAACAATACATACAATATGGTGCCTATGTTGTAACCACTCCGTGCCAATATTGTAACCGTACCATGCGAATGTTGCAATTGTACTATGCAATTGTTGTAACCGTACCATGTTTGTGCTGTAACTGTACCACGCATATGTTGTAACCATACCTTGCCTATGCTATAACCGTACCATGCCTATGTTGTAATCATACCGTCCCTATGTTGTAACCGCACCGTGCCTATGTTGTAACTGTACCGTGCCTAACTTGTAACCATACCGTGCTTATGTCTTAACCGTAGCGTGCATAAATTGTGTTGTAACCGTAGTAACCGCACCGTTCCAATGTTGTAACCGTACCGTTCCAATGTTGTAACCACACGGTTCCAATATTGTAGGTACCGTTCTAATGTTGTAACCGTACCGTTCCAATCTTGAAACCGTGTCGTTTAAATATTGTAACCCTACCATTGGAATCTTGTAACCCTACCATTGCAATCTTGTAACCGTACCATTCCAATATTGTGACCGTACCGTTCCAATGATGTAACCGTACCGTTCCAATGTTGTAAGCGTGCCGTTCCAATCTTGTAACCGTACAAATCCAATCTTGTAACCCTACCGTTACGATCTTGTAATCGTGCCGTATAGATCGTGTAACTGTACTGTTCCAATATTGTAACCGTACCGTTCCAATATTGTGGAATCCCAGCTCCAGGAGAAGTGCAATCACATCCCCACTGTCATGCCCCCTGTCCTGGCATGTAGGGGAGAGAGGGAAAGAAGAAAGGTGGGGGGAGAGGAAACGAATGGAGGCGGGAGGAGAAGTAAGAAGGGGAACGAGGGGGGAACAAATTAGAGGAAGGGAGGGATGACAGAAGAAGGGTGAAAGTTTTTTTTGCGAAGAAGCCACAACATTCTTTGGTACCAAGGGTTAAATATCAGCCATAGCTGTCATGCGGGCAATGGTGCCACATTCTACTCGATGAGAATCGAAGGAAATGGATCTGTACATACAGACAGACGGGGGGAATATTTGAATGAGCTACAGCCAACCGACCGACTGGATAGAGAAACTTGCTTGCTGTGGTCCATTAGGCCTTGGCTGACTCAAATAGCTTTATTTGTCCAGTTATTTGACTCGCCTTGACTCAGTCGACTGACCTGGGCCGACTCAATGTAGCTCGACACTATCGTCCACAGCGGCTCATTCCGATCCTTGAGCTTCCCGTGCCCGTGCCCCGTGCCATGCAACACAAACACACATGCACAACAAAGAAGTTGCATTTGCTCAAGTCGTATGATAAATCTAGAAAAATATAAATATAAAAAAGAATCAATGGCACACTTGAGAAAAAGAACAAAAGGAAGCACAAGACGGGGTGAGAGAAGGCTTTGTGGTCAAAGAAAACAGTGAATCGTGGGGCGAGGGTGGCAACGCAAAAAAAAATGCTCCAAGTTCTATAAGGAAGTCATGAGGAGGAAGCATACAAGGAAGGGGAAGGCGGACGTTGATACGACTGAAAGAGAGGATCCCTTGAGAAACAATGGGTCAGAGGAGGAGGTGGTGGAGGAGAAGGGGAGGAATGACAGAAATAGGAGGGAGCAATAGGGAGGATGCGGGGGTAGGGAGTGGGTTTGGGTCTATACGCTTTTCGGCCCCACGTAATTGTAGCATTACGCATAAACGTAAACATAAGCGTACGTACGCTTAATAAGCGAAACATATACCCGGGCACAAAAAGAAAAATTGCCAAGGGGACTACGAGGGTACGACAAGAGGTAATGGTGTGAGCGGGAGAAGGAAGGTAGGTGCGGTCAAGTTGAAAAAACTGCATAAATGAAATCCGTCACCACAAAGTATTGGCGGTGGCTAAAATATCATTCTGCCACCCTTTGGTTGTGCAAGAAGCAGCCGATTCTACAGCCAAAAACATGTTACACGATTGCTGGGCAGCTAAAAAAAACCTTGACGGCCCAGGCATGTGGAGTGAAGACACAGAAGCTGCTACTGCTAGCAGCAGCATCGACGGTGGCGGCGGCAGCGGTAGCAGCAAAGACACTCACGAGTGGGTGAGGAGGCCGGCTCGTATGAGCACACGTGTGATGACAGCAGCCGCGTGGCCCCCCGCTATGGATGGCGGCGATATGAGATGCATGAGGACTGCCTGGGGGAATGGGGGAGGCATGGGGGAGACTGGTGGGGGAATGTGGTAAAGTAAGGAGGAAGAAGAGTGAGGGAGGGAAGGAAAGCAGCAGCGTGGCCCCCAGCTGTGGGTGGCGGGGAGATGAGATGCATGCGCACTGCCTGGGGGTAGGGAGAGGCGGGGGAATGAGTGGTGGGAGAATGAGAAGTGGGGATATGGATAAGAGATGGGAAGAACGAGGTAACGTAAGGAGGGAGGGGAGGGAGGGAGGGAAAGGAAGCAGCAACGCAACGTGGTCCAAAGCTATGGATGGCGGCGGTATGAGATGCATGAGGACCGCTTGGGGGGGGCAAGATGGGAGGATGAGAGAGAGGGACGGGGTGGAAAGGACGAGGGAGGGTGGAAGAACGAGGCAAAGGTAAGGAGGACGAAGGGGGGAGGAGGGAAAGGAGGCGGAGGGGGAAATTGTGTGTTCTTACGAGCGGGCATGCTAAACAAGTGACACAACTAGGTCCCATTATTCTTCTTCCTCGTTTTGGCTGGCGGCGCATCCCTCACCTCCCAGTGGCTTGTGGCATGGGCTGCCATGCCTCACCTCCTATTGGCTTGTGGCATGGGCTGCCAGCTCAGCAAAAGATGGGCGGCTTGGTAAATAACACAACCATAAAAGGGGATGGAGAGATCCCATTATGGATGAGACTCAGAAAAGCCACAGATGCTCTCAAGGGATGTGAAGAGGGAACAAAATCAAGACGGGAGAAGTGAATCCCCACACACCATGCTTGCACCAGCCATGCACCCAGCACCTCACCGTCACTTGAGTGCACTGCACGCCTTTCACCCTCGCATGCGCGCACATGTGCAAGGCAATGCATGTAATGTGGCGCACGCCTGGTGAAAGGCAATGCATGTACTCATGGTGACTGACTCATCAACGAGCGCTTGCTGGCACAGCAAGCATGAATGAGTACCTCATCCTGACGTGAGCGCCTGCTGCACTCACCTTGACGTGAGAGCCTGCTGCAGCTGCTGCTGGAAGGTGGGGTTGAGGCGGAACGTTGCTGGCGACGATGACGATCCTGATGCTGCCAGCGACCCCTTTTCGCTGCACGTGGGGTGGATGGGTGGGGGAGGTGGGCGGGTGACTTTAGCCGACTAAACATTGCTGATGCTAACGATGATGCCGATGCTGTCCCTCAGAAACCCTGTTTTGCTGCATCGGGGTTGGATGGAGGAGCGGGGGAGAGGGGATGATGGGGGAGTGAGAAGAGGAGAGGGAGGAAGAAGGGAACACCAGTGAAGAACCTATTGCGCGCCGCCATAGGATAAGTGCACCATAGGTCATATCAATACATCAACACCTGTGAGCTCTCGCCCAACCTTGTAGGGGCCAGCAGCAGGTGTAGCTGCTGCCGCCTGTTAAAGGCAACCACATTTTTTCCCATGCTGGCATGGCATGCCCCAATATAGCCACTCACAGCAATCCAGCAAAGAAGCACACCACCCCTCCTGCCAACCGCCCTACCTGAATGCCAACAGCAGGCGCAGCTGCTGTAGCCTGTTCTAGCCTGGCCACTTAGTGCTTTCCCATGCCGGCATGCCCCAATGAAGCCACTCCAAGAAGCACGTCCGCCCTCCTGCCATCCGCCCTACCTGCACTGCACTGCACAGCACGGCAGCAGCCCGCACAGCTGCTGCACCTTGTCGAGGGCTGCCTTGTGCTTGCTGTGAGCCAATCCTGCTATGCTGCCCTTACATCTGAGAGTGCATCTGGAGTGCACCTGAGAGTGCATCTGGGTTACACCTGAGAGTGCATATGAGATAGTGAGCACACCTGAGATTGAATCTGGATTACACCTGAGAGTTGCAGCCCTACCTGCATAGCAGCAGCAGGTGCAGCTTCTGCAGCCTGTCAAGCGCCGCCTTGTGCTTGCTGTGAGCCTCGGGCTTGGGCCAATCAGCCACGAGCGTGGCAGGCACAGGGTATGTGAGGAAAAGCAGTCGCAGCACGTACATCTTGGCTAGCAGGGGCAGGGACCTGTGAGTGAGCGCGGGGCGGAAGGGATTGGTGGCAAGACAGGAGGGGAGTGAGGTGGCACAGGAGGGGAAGCGGTGGAGGATAAGTGCGGCGGGCACAGGTTCCGTGAGGAAGAGCAGGCGCAGCACATACTGCTTGGCCAGTAAAGGGAGGGACCTGCAGGTGGGGTTAGTGTGGGGAGAGGAGGGGTGGGAAAGCGGGGAGAAGGAATGCAGGGGACACATGGTCCGTGAGGAAGAACAGCACGTACTGCTTGGCCAGAGGAGGGAGGGACCTGTGGGTGAGAGGGAGGCCAGAAGGGTGAGTGAGTCGGGAAGGGGAAGGGATGAGGGATAAGTGTGGCAGGAACAGGGTCGGTGAGAAAGATAAGCCGCAGCAGGTATTCCTTGGCTAGCAGGGGCATGGACCTGCGGGATAGGGAGCGAGTGTGAGGCCAAGGTGGGGTTAGTGTGGACGGAGGGGGGTTCCAGCAGGCACGGGGTTGGTGAGGAAGAGCAGAGGCAGCACGTACTTCTTGGCTAGCGGGGGCAGAGACCTGTGGGGGCGGGGGGGGTGTGGTGCCGGACGACATGGGAAGGTGAGATGGGAGGTGGGGAAGCGGGGGGAGTGAGTGAGGAAGAGCAGTCGCTGCAGATACTGCTTGGCTAGTGGGAGGATGGGAGGTGAGTGTGGGGCCCAGGTGGGGTTAGTGTGGGAGGAGGGAGGGTGCAGTGGGCACGGGGTGGGTGAGGAAGAGCAGTCACAGCACGTACTGGTTTGGATGGATGGAAGGGGCAGGGACCTGCGGATGGGAGGGTAGGGAGACGGAGGGTGCACGGACGGAGGAAGGGAAGGAAACAATGGAGGAGGGAGAAGCGGAAAAGGAGGAAAGGGGCTGGGGGGGGAGGGGAAAGAGAGGGGGGATGGTGGGGGAGTGGAGTAGGCACATGGTTGGTAAGGAAGAGCTGTAGCAGCGTGTGCTGCTTAGCTAAGGGAGGGCGGGACCTGTGATGGGAGGGGGACGGACGGAGGTGGGGGAGGAAAAGAGGAGGTGAAGGAAGGGGGCGGAGGGGAGAAAGGGAGGGAGGTGTGTGTGGGGGTGCTGGGGGTTGCGGGAAGTGCATTGGGGTAGAAATTGATGAGGAGGGGGGGGGGAAGGGAGGGAGTGAAACAGAGCGTGTCGTGCATTAGACATAAGGCGCCATGCTGGACCAGAGGAGGGAGTGACATGGATGCGAGCGGGGGAGGAAGGAAGGGAATGGGATGAACGAGGGGGAGGGAAGTGAGGCGGAAGTGTGGTAGGAGGGGGGAGAGCTGCGGAAGGGGGAGCGGGGACAGAGGGTTGGTGAGGGGAGCGAGTAGCATGTGAGGGGGGAAAGAAGGGGATGTGGTGCGGTGAGAATGGGTGCGGGGAGAGTGGTGGGGGTGCAGTGGCGCATCTGAATGCGTGGGTGGGGGAACCAAGGGAGGCGTAGGTGGGGGAACAAAGGGAGGTGCGGATGGGGGAACCAAAGGAGGCGCGGGTGGGGGAACCAAGGGAGGCGCGGATGGGGGAACCAAGGGAGGTGGGGGTGGGGGAACCAAGGGAGGCGCAGGTGGGGGAACCAATGGAGGCGCAGGTGGGGGAACCAAGGGAGGTGCGGGTGGGGGAACCAAGGGAGGCGCGGATGGGGGAACGAAGGGAGGCGCGGATGGGGGAACGACTGGTGAGAAGAGAAGGTCCGATGCTGGGGGGAAGAGATGCGGAAGAAGGAACCTCCGTTGCTGGGAGAGTATGGGGAGGGAGGCCAATTAGGAAGGGTCGGTGGAACGAGTGGGAACGAGGAAAGGAGGAAACGGGTTCCCGTCACCTCGAGCGATTCAGACTCACTGGGCAGCTGGACGGCAGTAAAACTCACGCTTAGTTAAAAGAAGCGTTTACCTTAGCATAGATTGGCATGTGTAGAGGGAGGAGTATAGCCAATCGAGCTGCACGGCCGGCAGCAACGCGAGGTAATCCGCGAATAAGCCAGCAGATTAGACCATCCTTAGATGGAGGGGAAGGTGAGGGTTACGAGCAGGGGGAGCGAGGGCGAGGGATACGACGATGGCAGGGAAAACGAGGGCGACGGGGAGGGGAAGCGAGGGTGACGGGGAGGGGAAGCGAGGGTGACGGGGAAGTAACTATGACGCTATGGTGAGTCACTATTTTGTGATGCTATCATTTGCATTCACGTTTGTCTGCCTCCCATCTTATCATTCTATCTTCCATGCGTGGTGTGCGCGCGCGAAGGACTTTGCGTTGGGTGTGTTTTGGATTTTCTGAGTGTGTGTGAATGTTATTCTACTTGAGCAGATATCTGAAGTGACTCCTGCTCAAGAGCTTTCCGATGAACCAAGGATCGCTTCAATCGGAGCACGAACGAGAAAGTTATGATCGTTCGAAGTTTTGATTGTGATGCCGCGACTATGGGAATTTGCGGAGTGACTCAATATGGGGTACAGACTTTTGGAGGTTGGGAAATTCGTCACTTCTACTCCCCTACTTCCACTCACGAAGCTGCTGGGGCGACGGGGTCTCGCTCTGACACTGCTGCCGCTGCCTCTGGCCTCCTCCAGAACCTCCACACTGAGCTCCAGTCCTACCGCCACCACTCCCACCACTGCCACCACCGCCACTCCCACCGCTGCCTCCACCGCCGCCACCCAAGCCCCCACTCCTGCTACCACTCCCACCGCTGCCACCACCTCCACTGCCTCCACCACCTCCACTGCCGCCCCCACCACTACCCCCGCTGCCACCTCCACTACCCCTGCCACCCTTTCCCTTGTTGTTGTGGCGCTTCCCACTAGCGGAAGCAGCTCCGACATCCTCAGCACCAAGGACGTCAATAGCAGCAGCAGAGGCGTAGGAGGGGGCAAGGGGGGAGGGGGAACACCCCTCAAAGATGGGCGTGCGAGGAGTGCCACGAGCAGCACCTACAGCGACTACACTAGTCTCAGCTGCAAGGAGGTGCTGCTCGAGTAGGTCAACCGTGAGGTCTGTGGGGTTGAGCGCGAGAAAGTGGTCCCTGACAGTGCGAAGAGAGTCAGGGAGGCGGGTGACTATAAAGTAGAGAGTGATGTACATCGGGGGCGGGTTCTTGGCAAGGAACTCTGCTGGGAGGGCAGCATGGTAGCGAGCGTCGCTAGTGCGAAGGTGGGAAACAAGGTCCTCTACTGTGGCAAAGGCGGACAGCTCGGGAAACAGGTAGGGCAGTAGAAGACGGCCTAGAGCAGCAGTGGCAAGGGAGGAGTAACGGGCGACTACAGCGTCGTACAGTGCCTGTGCGGTCCTGTGCTGTCCGAAGTGAGCGCATTCGGCCAACGGAAGGTGGTTGCGAATGGCTAAGCGAGCAGCAGCATCACGAGTAAGCCACTGTGAGCGAGTTGCACTGTCAGCTGTGGCGGGAGGGGCAGGAGCGGTGCCAGACGTGTGGTCAAACAACGAAACACTGTCCCTAGAGTCGCTCAGTAGGTACAGCTGCAAGTCGTCGAGCCACGTGTCAAACTGGATCGGTCGGCCCTCATGATCGAACGCTAGAACGCGGAGAGAAGCCACGGTGGCGCAGCACGCAGGTCGGGCAGTGGCCTGGCAGCGCAGGGAAAAGGGGCAGGCAGCAGGCTGCAGGAGGGGCGGCTCGAGGGCCTAGGGGCGGCCACGGGGCGACGTGTCGGGTTCAGGGGTGACGGGCCGAGGCCTAGGGGCGACAGGTTGGGGCCTAGGGCTCTGTCTCCCGCGGCCACGTCGCCCGAGGACCTGTCGCCCGCGGCCTCGTCGCCCCTTGCCTCGTCGCCCGAGGACCCACCCCCCCCCCCCCCAACTTCGTTCTCCCTCTCCCTGCTGCGCGTGAAGCAGAAAAGGGGGGGGGGGGGGGGGTAGAGAAGGGAGTTGGGGGCGCGGATCATGGAGGGTGAGGGGGTGGCAAGAGGGGTGCGGTTCCGGGGGGTGGCTGACCTAGAGGGTGGCAGGAGGGGTTTCTGCAACACCAGCCACCCACCACCTCCTCCTCTCTCTCTCCCTACCGCACCTTGTGCAAAAGGGGGGGGGGGGGGGCTTGGAGGTTAAGGGGGTGGCGGGGAGGGGATCTGCAGCATCAGCCCCCCCCCCCCCCCCCCCCCTTCTCCTCCATTCCCCTGCTGCGAGTGCAGCAGTGGGCGGGAGGGGATCTGCAGCACCAGCCCCCCCCCGGCCCCCTCCCCCCCTTTCTCCTCCATCCCCCTGCTACGGGTGCAGCAGTGGGGGGGAGGGGATCTGCAGCACCAGCCCCCCCCCCCGCCCCCCACTTCTCCTCCATCCCTCTGCTGCGGGTGCAGCAGTGGGGGGAGGGGATCTGCAGCACCAGCCCCCCCGCCCCCCCCCCCCCTTCTCCTCCATCCCCCTGCTGCGGGTGCAGCAGTGGGGGGGAGGGTATGGGGGTGGCGGGTGTGAGTGAACTGCTGCCGCCTCTCCTCCTCTCTCTCCCACTGCTGCACATGCCGCTGGGGGGGGGGGGGGGGGTGGGGGGGTGGGGGAGATGAGGGACGAAACAGCCACACATCTGCGACTGCCGCCCTCTGCTACCGTGGTACCTCCAGCTGCAGCCCCTGTTGCCACCCTTGTTTGTCTTGACTCTCTACTGCTGTTGAGCGGCAGGTGCTGCCGTTGAGCCCTGCTGTGCCGCCGCCCTTGCCGCCACACGCTCCTGATTCTGCTGCTTCTACCTTGGCTGAGGGGTTACTGCAACTGTATCTGCCACTATTGCACTGGTTGTCACTGCTATTGCGTGTTGCTGCTTTGTTCTGCTTGGTGTACCCCTGCAGGTTGTGTCTAGCACTTGGCTCTTCCTGCATGCAGTTAAGGGGGGATGTCACAATTATATTATTCTAACTGCATGTAGTTCTAGCCTTAGTGTAGTTATCCTAACTTCCTGCTTGGTGGTGTAACCCCCTTTCCTACCCTATCTGTACTTCACTCTCTATAGTGAAACCATCTCTTTCTTGTTCTCAACTCTCTCGACACTCCTTGGCTAGCCTAAACTCTAGTCATGGCTCCTATGACTCTAACAAATGGTGGTACAATGCCTCTGACGAGGCTACAATACTTCGTCTGTTTTCGAAGTTGAGAAAAGTGACGGTTTTGATTTCTGACAATCTGAAGTTTCGAAATTTCAAAACGGACTGTCCGGTACTCGCTATTGGGACCGTCCAATTCAATATAAGTGGACCGTATGAAAAAAAAAAAGGCAAAATGGAGACACGCCCCAAGCTTAGGAATATGCTAGTCCGAGCCACCTTCGCGAGTGCCGGCACTCCAAATCCCTCTGAATGCAACGTCGCGTGAGCACTATCATTGGGTTGTTTTGTATACCACTGATTTGTCTGCCCTGATCGTTTCTTCTCGTCCTGTTTCTTCTCGTCCCCTTCCTTCTCTACACCTTCTGTTGTTACCGCCCTACCATGCTCCCTTCCGCCTTCCCCCCATAATATTCTCACCCTCCATAATTCTCAGCCCTCCGCCTACCCATGCAACCCTAACTTGTCGATTGTCCTACTACTCATACCTCGCACTCCCTCTCCCTCTGCCCCTCTGCTCCCCAACCCCCCCCCCCCCTCTCCCCCCCGTCCTTTTCTCCCTATCCATGCATCCACAACAATCATTTACATTGTATCGTGCCACGCACAACCCATCTAACACACCTTTCGCATACGTAGCAACATGGTACTCAGGCTAATGGGCACACATCGACGTGTACGCATTATATATCCAATACTATGCATGAGCTCGACACATTACATCGCACAGTAGATACGCTTGAACACTCGCACAATCATATAAGGAAATTGCGTTGTCACGACTCCCTCTGACAGTGTGCCTGTTGCATGGGTGAGATTGCATTCTTGAAAAAAAACGATTTATTCGTGTCATACACCCTACCCGTTTGCATATTTATTTTCACCAAAAAAAGATTGCATATTTATTTTCACCCAACGATTCCTTCCCGTTTTTCCCTTCCTAGTGTCATTCGTGCCATACACCCTACCCGCAGCTTACGTTTAACCATAGCGCATGACCCAACTCCCCAAGAGCACGCCACAAAAACAGTGGAAATATAATTTTATTTCCTGACGGCGCCTAACGGCTACAACTTATTGTAGGTGCTTCTACAAGGGATGCGGCCTTCTTTCTCAACCCTCCCTTCCTTTTTTAGTTAGATTTCGACACTCTAACTGCTCTTAGCACTGAGGATGGCCATGCAATGGCCGAAATGCATTTGCTACAGACTTTTCAGCAACCTTAGTATAAATTTCTTAGCTTAAAAAGGGAGGAATAGGTTAGAATAGGATATTTTCCACATATCTGATGGAGCAGTTCGCGACTATCGTTGCGTTACTGCACTGAACCGCATTCCCGTTTTTCCCTTGAAGATAAATTTTCTCGCCGAGTCAACTCTATTCCCCCTTGAATATCAACAGACTAGTACAACAAATATATGGTTCAACCCGAAGTACGCGAATTTGATTCGTAACCACACATATTCAACACGTTGCGTAGGCGCCTCGTTTCATCCTGAGTCGCAGACGTAACCTCAACATCTTGGCTGAACGCGCCTGAAGTCTGAAATGGTTACTTGTTGAACACTCCTCATGTTGACCCACACTTCTCTCCTGTCAACCACAACTTCCTCCCTTCTAGTACTTTCTTCTCCACTCCTTCCTTCCCGTTTCTCCCATGCTGTTCCCTCCTTCCTGTCAGAATATTATGTTTCTCTAGTCTGCAGTGGGGTACTCTGTAGTGAGTACAACCCTGTTAGGGTTTGCTATATGTATCCCAATGCTTGCTAGTGAACTCATCCATTCATTCCTATTCTTTCACATGGTATAGAGCTACTTCGATCCTTGGGCCCACCACTAAATATTTTTTTTCCTGC